AAAGTCTGCATTCAAAATGTTACTTTAAGTAAAAGCATGAAGCATTAAAATGCCTCAAAATATACTCAATGTACCGAAAGTAAAAGTACTCATTATGCAGATTGGTCCATTTCAGAATCATACATATTGCATTATAACTATGGATGCATAATGTTAAAGGCAGGGTAGGCAAGTTGCTTCTAAAACACTTTTTGTCATATTTGTTGAAACTGTCTATATACACCAATGCATATTAAAAAGTTAGGTGCACTGAAAAAGAGAGTATAAAAATGCTGTCTGTAGTCCTCTCAGGGCTGCCACTCGTTCCATTCGGACCAAATACAATGATTGGCTGTCTGACTGTCACTCTCCCTCGCTGCCATGGCTACCATCCCTGCTGCTACAGGAGCTGCCCACATGCGCGCACCCGGTCAGCTCTCTGACCTGACGAGCGAAGTGGTCAGAATGGTGGGTGATATCTGCATGACTTTTCAACGATAGTAACAACCGAGGAACACCAAGTGGCTGACACACTGTGGTGGCTTTATTTCTGATGGACAGGTAATCTGGCTTTTATCATTTTGTACTACTTAGCATACAGTTACTGGTGTAGGAGCCAGAGTAGAGACGATGAATTACATCTAGCTGTAGGTGAGCTGGAAAACAGCAGCGCGAGCTGTGTTTTCCGACACTAACATTAGGTTAGTCTGAATTGTCTGAACTCTCTGGACACACCTTGTCGATTCCTGTATATACTTATTTTTAATGATGTTTAAAATGATCTATTTGTGATATAGGTTGTAGTTTTAGTAGTATTTAACATAAATACAATAAACAAGTGTTATACCACATTTGGAGACATAAGACATACATGTAGTTGCTTGATTGATTATGCTGCAAGTGCAAAGAAAAGGCATTTAGCATTTTCAATGCTTTATTTAAAAAAGAATGAAAATATTATCCAGAACAGGGAAAAATATCTTTGTGTTTTCTCTACCCTCCTGGGAATAAAACAAAAACAATGTACAGGTATTCATCCACACAGTGGATAGAATTATTTGTGTAGCACTGTTAGTGACATTACATCTTACACCCTGCTAGGATTAAACCTCTGTATTGTCCTAATGGATCAGGAGAACCGTTGCATATCTTCCAGAAACAGCAACTCAGTATCACGACTCTGTGTCTAAGTGCTCCACAATGCCATACTACAAACTGTCTGTATGCTGCCTGACTGAACTGTCTGTTACTCTGTCCTGGGTCTGGAAGGTCAGCCATGTGTGGTGCATGGAAACACTGTAGTCTGGATGTTGTCCACAGTCCTCAGATTCCGGTCTGTAAAGGAATATATAGTTGTTAGAACCCCAAATGGGAAAGATCTGTGTAATTGGAAAGAACATTCATCAACATCAGACATTTTTATTGAACAGGGGTTGGTGTTCTCTAACAGGAATTCTGTGTCTACATTACACACCAGGTCAATGTAGATAACACAGATGAGCCGATGGCTGAAGCAGAGCTGTGGTTAGTTGTTGTAATCAGTAAACAATAATAAAAAAGTAATAACAGTAGTGATGGATTACATTGCACTTTATTTTTGACACCCAAAGGGCTTAGGGGGAAACAACAGAGAAACTTTGAGACAAGTACACTGGGAGACAATAGACTAATATTAAAATATATATACCTGTTCATACTGGCGACCTGTCCAGGGTGTACCCCGCCTTGCACCCGATGTCAGCTGGGATTGGCTCCAGCCCCCCCCGCGACCCTGTATGCAGGATAAGCGGTTGACGATGGATGGATGGATGGATATACCTGTTCATATGCCGTTGCTGGAGTGTGAAGGTCGACGCAGGTATGTGCTGCTCAGCTTGCACCTCGTCCTGCCTCTTCTTCCTCGGACCCTGGCAGCCCTCCCTCCTATGCTTCGCCCCGGGCCTGTCCCGGTCTGAGACAATAATGCTGTCACAGTGGAAGATCTAACATGCAAAACAACGTACATGTTATGAGTCTAACATGAAATTCATGTTTGTGTAGTGTACCTGATGGAAAAGGGAAAATGTGTATCAGCCTGTTTTTAGCTTTGCCCAATGTTACCACAGCTGTTAACAGTTAGCTAGCCAACTCGTTACTGAATCAAAGTCAGTCTTTTTAAACCTATCCAATATTAACATGCTAGCTAGATAGTGAGTACTAACAACCGGGTTAGTTGTTTTGTTTATTTTCATAACGATAAAGTTAAATGTTTTCTTACCCCTGATGTGAGCCACTCGGCAATGCGCATTCACGTGTTTTGGGGGCGTGGCTTTGGAAGGAGCCCAGAATGGAGTGGGTGGGTGTTTCTCTGTTGGATACTTTAAAAAATCCAGCAGTTTCTTGCTAGTTTCTCAAACTTACCTACCCTGCCTTTAATGTTGCAGGTAAAAGTGGGGCTAGTTTTAACTACTGTATATACTGCTGGGTAGCTTAATCTGTAATAATACTCAATTTATTAGATGACTTAAAATGAACTAGTAACTAAAGCTGTCAGGTAAAGGGAGTGGAGTGAAAAAGTAAAATATTCGGCTCCAAAATATATAGGTATAAAGTACACTAAAATGAAATTATACAAGTAAAGCAGAAGTACCGCAAAATTGTACTGAAGTACAGTACTTAAATACAATGTGCTTGTTTACTTTCCACGTCTGCCTTGCTTTACAGAAATGCCTTGCAGGTCCGTTAGGTTGCACCTGTCCAGGTGACACTGCCATTGCTGTCTTAACTTTGTCACCTTCATAAAGGCTGGAGCTCATTAACGGACAGCGATGGTTCCTGTGGAGTTACAGATGTGTATTCACAAGTTGGCAGGGTTTCTTCACCCCCCTGCTGTGACAATGGCGGTGCCCCACCGTTCCCAAGTGCACAACTGTACTAGTTCCATCAGTATCACTGGATATTTGCAACTAGACACCGTACTGATTGTACTAGTCTGTTTGATTTAAGCAGTGCTAGTAGTAACTAGAATCCAACAATACCAACTAGTGTGCTCACCACTGCAGTGTTGTTGAGTTTTATCTGCTGCTAAGTTAATGTACTGTTAATTCCTTTGTTACTTTACCAAACCGACTGTTAACAAACAGACAAAAACAAAACAACAAGCTGCCTCTTCAACAGCGTGTTGCACTGTGTTGTTTACTCATATTTCAGTGCGCAAACTGCGCCTACGTCAACGTGTCCTCTAGGTTCTGGGAATGGTTTAACAACAGAAAGTCTCCTAGCAGGGAGAGACATGAATAATGTATTGATGTTCATGTTACCTGGCCATTCTATTACTTCTTTTTTTTACTGCACACCAACAACAAGGTGAAGCACCTTCAAAAACAAAAGACTGGGTAACTCCTTTAACTTTGCTGTGGTTTAAACACATGCACATGTAGCCACAGAAGCAGTCACAAGGAACATGTTTCAGCTTAACATTAGCAATCCACGACATTGTAGCTGCTCGTTCTTGGCTAGTTACGCATTTGATTTAACTCCTACTATACATCTGATTATTGGATATTATTTCAGTTAGATGTGGTATATAAAGCAAGCCTTTTGCATATAGGAAAGTGTGTGATGTAAAGCACAGGTGAACCCCTCAAGGGCAGACTATACACTAAAAGATCTCCAAAAAGTTAATAACTGAATAAGTCATTATATGATTGAATAGTTTGTTTAATTAATTTAGTGACCAGCCTTGTTATTGGAGCTGTAGTTTCAGCTACTTCTTTCTTTTTCAGATTTTAACTGAATATATCGAGAGTCTTCAGGTGTCCCCCACTGTTCACTTGTCGCATTTAATGGTTTTGCTGCTTCACTGCTGCATTATGACTCCTTGGGGATCTCATAGAGGAATTTTTTGCAGTATTAATACTGTGCATGACAGATGATGGAGAGACTGTATAGCCCAGGCAGTCTTTGTGGTTTAGTGTTGATTTACTGTAACATGATGCAATACAGAGGCGCTTTGATTTCAGGTCTCGCCCTGAGTGGGTGGGTAGTGATGAAGGGCAGCTGAAAGCCAGAGATTTACTTAATAATAATATTAACGACCAACCTTATTTAGATTCATCACTAGTGTTTTGGGCATTTTAGTGTGATGTTGTTGTGTGTGTGTTTTATGTGGGGGTGGGTAGAAAAAATGGTGACTTAAAGGAAAAAGGTCAATATTCTTTATTTCCTCTACTTTCAACAAATCTTATGGACAGACGAACTAACAATGAATTGATGCTATTAACAAGTAGTGCTTGTGTTGTTCATTCCTCTGTACCAGAAACCATTACAAACACAACCATTTCACAGGGTGACACAATATTTTGTTACACCTTCCTGGATTTAATTTTAGTCAGCGTTGCAGAAAATACTCACTAGAGCGTAACCAAGGCTGTTTGTGTAACTTGCTAATAACCATAGTGCCCGGCGGGTTTCAGGAAATGACCAAACCTTTCTTGAATGAAACCCTATATGTGATCTATTTTAAAATATTTACATCTTCAGAACAAATGGAACGAAATGTGCTTGAGTGCCACAGACAGTGTAGAGACGCTAGAAAGTATCGAAAGATGAACTAACCAACTGATTTTTCAACAATTAAAAAAAATTTGTACAGACTTTTTTCAGCCACAATATTTTACTTTTTACACCCTCACACCTAGAAATGTATTCCATGATGGTAATTTACTTCCAATTAATGTAAATTGACCACAGAATAAATTGCAGTGTTACACCTTAACTCCGTAGAGGTCCCTTGTCTGAGCTCAGTGTAGTTCTAAAGTGAGAGGGCGGGAGTGAAATCATTAATGCCGGGCATTACAAGACAACAGGCAGGCAGCAATGGATCACTGAGATGGGTGACTGCATAGGATAGGTCACTTACTGTAGCGTGAGAGCTAGTGGAGAGATAGCAGCAGCTGCTCCACAGCTCAGCCCATCCTCCCCGTGACAGTGCAGCGTTACGTGCTGCCTCTCCGCTTTGTCGTCAGAGCAGCCAAAGCCTCCCGCCCGCGCACATCTCCTCTCCGCTCTGCACCAGAAAGGAGCATCCTCTTCTCTCCACCCTCCCTCTCTTTTGTATCCTCTCTCCCTCTCTCTCTCTTACCCTCTCTCTCTCTCTCTCTCCCTCTCTCTCTTTTTCTGTCAGTCGGTGTGTCCTCAGAATGAGGTTAGCAGCAGCAGCAGCAGCAGCAGCAGCAGCAGCAGTAGATAGAGATAGCAGAGCCACAGTTACTGCAGCAGTCAGGGGAGGCTGTCCTTCAGCCGTGCACCATCTACCGCTGCATTCACCCCTGCCCTGAGAACGCAACACTCATCCTTGTGCTCTCTTTCTGTGTCTCTCCTCCTCCTCCTCCTCCCTCACCTTCTGTCCTCTTTGAATTCATCTCTCAAATTTGTCCGCCCCCCCTCTCTCTCTCTCCCTCTCTCCCTCTCTCTCCCTGTAGCAGTGATGGGGAAGACCACCATGTAGAGACAGAGAGGCAGCGGATGTAACAGCAGAATAGCAGCAATGGGAAACCACACATGGAGCGGGTCTGGACTGCAGCCGTGGTGAGCCTGATACCTACAGGACTTGCAACCACCATCATCGCCCTTCTCAGGACCTGACCACTGGGGCTGTCCAACGCTCACCTGGATGCTCCCCGCTTGTGTTCCATCATCCCCGCCTCTCCTCGTTCTCTGCTGCTCTTTCTCCTCTTCTTCTGTTTCTTCTCTTTGATGGTTTTTGGTCTACTGATATCTGACAGTCTCTCCTGAAACAGAGAAGCTGCTCATCGATTTGTCTCCTCGGATTTTCCATTCCTTTTTAATCTCTATCTGCATATTTAACCTACAAGTGGCATTCTTTTTTCCCTTTTTTGGTTGTTGCCTGCTTGATACCTATTTTGGATTTTTTTTTTTTTTGATGAGACTGACCTCATCTCTCTGTTGTGCAAGCTTTTTAATTGATCTTTAAGCAATAACAACACTTACTGTATCTAACTGACTTGACTAGCTGACATCATGGGGGACATGTCCAACAGCGATTTTTATGCCAAGAACCAAAGAAATGAGGGCAACCATGCGGCAGCCTTTGGCTGCTCGCTCATGGAGCTCCGCGCTTTGATGGAGCTGCGTGGCACAGAGGCGGTGGTCAAGCTCCAGGAGGACTACGGGGGCGTAGAGGGACTGTGCAAACGACTGAAAACCTCACCCACAGAAGGTGAGTCTGTGCATGTCTGTGTATGTGCTTGGATGTGTGTGTGAATATGTGTGCACTGGTGTGTGTTGAATGAAGGATCATCTTGAGGAATGTGTTGTACTACTGTATCTCGAGATGATGGTAGACTTTCCTTGTATTTACTGTTGCTTTGGATATAGATCATTATTTTCCGGGTGCACCTGATTTATTTAATTTAAAAATCAATGATGAAAGCACACACGTGCACAAACCTGGTAAAGCACCTGTGTAAGCGCAGCATCAGAACAGACAGCAGACACCGGAGGGAGTCCTGTTTGAAGGGACTAATGAAAATTCTTTTCAGCCAGCTAGTGTTAGACCTGGTTAGTATGCATAGAAATCTCTCTGAACAGTTTAGCCCCCCTCATTCCCCCCTCCCCCACACAAGCCCCCCACCCTCCCTTGTCATTCTTCCATCCTGTTGGCCAATCAGCCGATGCCTTATTAAGGAGCAGGTCTCTGGGGCAACACGGTAAAGGTTTTTGACCACGTGGGATGTGCTGTGGCATCTGCAAATGTGGACTGGGCATGAATGAAATGAGAAAGCAAAAAATTTAAATAAAATAATTTTTATGAACAGGTATGGCACCTGTTTCCTATTTATTTTCTGTTAAACAATTGGGAAAATCCAGCAAATATGTCTTACCTGCAGGGCAAATGTGTAGTATTTCTCCTTGCTGTTTTTTTTGACAGGTGTAGGTTTGTGTTTAGGTATAACAGTATTTTTCTTCATGGAGGAGATATTCAATAAAGAAAATGTGAGAATAGCACAAAAGCATAGCATGTGATACCACAGAATACCCTCATATTTATCACATACCTACCTAAGATCCATCATATCCACTTTAGGTAATTCAGATATTTGTATATGTATTGTTGATAATGGCTAAACCATTACTTTATCAACTTGCGTAAAAGTAGGATTTTCTGTTTCTTCATCCCCAGCTGCAGTGCAGAGAGCATACAAAAACAGGCCTCTCTAATGGCTTCATCTGTCCATTAAGTATTTTATTATTGAAATCATCTACCACCCCTGATGGAGGGATCATTGACAAGTATTCGTGTAGTGTCATCTGTGCGACATCAGAGGTAACCTGTAACCTTGTAGGCTGATAGTCATAGAAGATTGTGTTCCCTGGTCTTCTCATCCAATAGCGCCACTTCCAGGTAAGCTGGTGGTAATACCTGTGGCAAGAAAACGGCAGAGTAAACCAGAAAAATTCAGAGAATCGTCCAAGTCACAGAGTTGAATAACGAGGAAATAAAGATCAAATCAAAATGGGATGGAACAGAATGAAAGCACTGATGAACACTGACTCAGATCGGGGATGCTGTGCCTGTTGCTCACCACATTTGCAACATCAGTAAGAAACAATTAGCATTAGAACTAGCAATGAAATTATCATAACAGACATAAAATTATAATTACAGTTTCCCATTCTCATGAGCATCACGATTAGATATACGAACATTACATTTTATCAGTAAAGACTAACCCAGGATTGCAGCCTGCAGACTTCAATAAAACTAAAATAGTAATTAAACTTACATAAGAGAAACGTAGTTTCTGTTATTGGTAATATGATTTGTTGAACACAACAGTTCCCCAGTGCCACTGCATGTGCAAAACTATCTCTGACACTGAGGGGAAAGAATTATCCTCTTCATTATCATAAAATATTACATAATAGCAAAAGTTATACACTGTACTTCAACGTTTACCTTTTTTTTTTCTTATATTCAGAGTCATGATAACATGGTACAGCTCATTTGAAATATGGGAAAGTCTGATTTGAAGCCAGTGTGCCAGTGTGTTCCACCCTAACATTATTCTGGATCACCGTGCATAGTTATAGTTCCTCCAGTGGGTAAAATAATAATCATAAAAAGAAGAAAAGCATTTCTCTAAGGAGCAATTCAGAATGTATATAAATTCAAGGCTCTGCCGACTGGATCACTCAAAACACTAAAATCTCAAATGTGTGTGCCGATTAATTATTTTGCTATTCATTTGATTTACTAGAGTGCATTGTGTATCTTGTGCAGTACTCTGTTTCGATACGTGAGATGCTTCCATATGATAGTTTGTCAGTATTTTCAATGGCTAAGTCCATTTAACAAGTCACAATGTTTTGGCTGAGATCTTGCCCTACTGCTAACAAGCAGGATGATCCTCTTCTATTATCTCTGTTTATAATTATTAATTGATCTAATTAATTATTTTATCTCCCACTAGTACATTCACTAAGTGGAAACTGAGTAATGGTATCTACTGCTATTTGCATTAGTGCTCCCAGGTGTTTCTATGTTAATGTTGTGTGGATCCCCTTCTGTGCTTTGTGGTTGCTCCACAGAACATATGTTACCCCAGAAATGTGATCATGGTAATCATCCTTGAAGGTATTCTGTATTGCTTGCTGTCGTCATGTGTGGTGTGTGTAATGTGTATGTGTCCCGGGGCCCTGCGTTTGATGGTAAGAAGCCGTGAGCACGGTTGACCTATTAGCCCTGTAGCTTATACCAGCCCGTTCACATGATGCTAACAGTTCATGGCTGTAGCCCATTATGCAGCATAAATGCATAATGGCCCTGTAAGTATAGAAATGCAACCAGTGAAGGGGTTGCACCACATGCAATTTGACACTGCAAGCAGTAAGCCCCTGCAGCATTGTTGCTGCAGTACATGAAACTGTAAAACTTTGAAAAACTGTGACATATGAGAGGCTGTTTATTAATTTAGCCTAAAAATAAATTTAAGTTGTATATGATTTAGGATTAGAGTATATGGTGCTTACTGCATTTCCAGGCAGAGTAGTTGGAGATTACATGAGATTGAGAACTGCTACAATAGCTCCAACACGTGATACACATTATGTACATGATAGCTATAAAGAAAACAGAATAGCGCATACAATACAAAAGCTGTGGTTTGGGGAAACATACCTCTATGTTAATAATCTAGATGTTTTAGGAACTAAAAGAGGCGTCCGTAGGACACATTTCTTAAAGCATTATGTTTATTAATTTTTTGTTTTTGTTTTTAAAGGTTTGGCCCCAATAGATGAACAATTATCTTAATCCATGGCAGAAGAACGCAACACATGATTTAATGTTAAAACTTAAACGTCCCCAGGAAGTAAAATTCCTTTTTCTTAAAATCAAATTTGCATGAGATAACTTGATACATGATGATGAAGATGGTGATCAAATGAATATTGATTAAGTGGCAGATTGACGTAATTCTATAAGATGCCTTCATTCTCTATTTCATACCCTTCAGTTTTCTCAGTAGCCTGCTTCCTTGTATTGCATTCCTGCACCCAGGATGTAGTTACCTATTTGTTGTCTTGTAGGTGACAGTGGGGTGAAGAAGCTAGCGTTTCCCTCAGGCAGTCAGCGGGTGAATGGCATGAGTCAGTCAAGGGCCAGACGGGGTGTCAGGCTACAGCTTAGTTTCCGAGAAGAGACGGCAGGAAGCTGCTCGAGGTCTGACCTGCTTTTCTGGAGAAAGCAGAAAAGAAGGTTGGTTGGTTGGTGCTCACAGTGTAACTACTTTCTCAAGGGACTGTAGAGAGGTGCAGCACATCGGTAGGGAGCAAGAAATTGTGAGAGGGTGCAGAGCCATTCCTCGAGGGTCGGGAGGATGAAGAGGTGCTTAGGGCAGCGATGGTCTTTGATGTTGTGAGAAAGGAAGGGAAGGAGGGTATTTAGCGAGGCCATGTGGAAAAGTAGGAGTAAATATAGATATGTGTGGAAACCACATTATATACAAGGAGTCTATCCATCTCACAAAACTAAAGCGGTAGGCTTTTCTGGCAATTTAGATACGACTGCAAACTTGGATGAACTAATATAATATTGGAAATGAAGCAGTGAAAATATATAAAACTATATATTAATAAAATTTTAAAATATGCTTCCCTAAAAGCTTACACAAACTTTCACTTTTCAGCCGCGTACTGTATTTTTGATAGTATTATCATCCAAAGCAGAACACCCAGCAGCAACCAGCAAAGATCGGCCTCAGTTACCTTTTTTATAACTTTCAGTTCACTGCGTGCTGAGCTGTACATCAGTATGACTTTACACACCAAGGTGATGGAATGAAATGCTATTTCATGCATGCTGAAGAGAGATAGCACTAAATAGTAATTAATACAGCAGAAACTTTTGAATAAGTAATAGGAATTCAATCCAAGAGTAAAATTCAGCAGTTATTCTTTTTTAATAATTGTAGCCAGCCAGACTTCTTCTTATTTCCAACTCAGCGCATTTTCATATCCTCACCCTGAACCCCTTCGCTTTGCCCTCTAATATCGCCATACCTCATTTCAGTCTTCTTACTACCTCCATGTTCTCTCCACCTTTCAATGGCCTCTAGTGCCGGATTTTCCTCAACCACTTACAAATCCCCCTTCTCCGCAAATCACCTTACCCCAACCTGCAGTTTTTGATCAAGCCCTTACCAGAAGTTTACCAATATCTTAATCACATCAATACTATATATAAAATGTAATGATCTCCAACTTAATACAAAATGGATACCTTCAGTTTCTATACGGTATCATCTGTATCCTGACTAAAATGGAAGTGGTTGTCCATGTCTGCAGGTAAATAATATTGACACCTGATGTCCACCTTCTCATATTCTCATCATTAAGTGGGAAGAGTTGCATAGCTCTGAAAATTAAAGTCACATTCATTTTCTTTGTAGACATTGGTGTGTTGTTCAGGCTTGGATGGGCATAAAATGGTCAGTACAAAAGATAAGCAACTGTGTAGAAGAAAGGTCTAAGCTACAAGCCATTGCGCATAAAAATGCATGAACAGAAGTTAGCTACAATTTTTTTGCCGAAAGTTAGAGGAGAAGATTGATACCTCTCTCACTCTAAGAAATAGTCTGGCACATAAACCCCCATAAAATGTCAAATTGTTGTTCTTACACTTTGTTTTTTTCTTTTGTTTCCTTTGGACAGAGCAAA